CATCCAAGTCATCTGTGTGCGCGCGGATAACTCCCCCAATTTCAGATTGAGATTCAGGCTTCTGTTGAACGTCGAAACGATGTCCAGCCTGTGCCTGCAAGGTCCCACCTTGTTTCGTAATTCACTTTCGCAAGAAGCACCTCTGGAATCCCAACACACGAGCTGAGTGCAAGGACTCTGCTTTGAGGTACCTTAACATTGGCTGCTCACGTCAGACCGTTGGACTCATGTTGGCAGCAGACTGCAACCCTTGCAGGCCAAGATACACCATGCGTGGCTCTTCTGGTGCCGTGCTTGCCTGAACGAGCAACTGAATTGAGCTACACTTGGGCAGCAGCATTCAAAGGAGTGACTTTCCACACCAGCGCTTCTGGAGCTCGAGATTCTCACAACAGAGAACTGCAGTCGGCTTACGAGCACCCAGCTCCCGCCTACAGTACCTACTTCCATCAACTTCTCGCCGTGCACGGGTGCTCGGCCGGGCAGAAGATGTGGAGTGGGAGGGACACGGAAAAAGCCGTGGTGTGAGGTATATCGGGACATTTAGGGGCACATAGACTGGGCGGTCCCTAACGAATCCTTACTTACTTGTGAGGGCCTTTACGAATTACGCATGGATTGGGGGAATCATAACAGTTGAATGGCTGCTGGACCCTCAATGCTGCCAATATGATGGACAGCATCCCTGTTTGATCCCCCAGGCCGAAAACTTAGCGTACAAGGAGCTGCTTTGTCTGCGTAAGACAGGCAAACTGTGAATGCGGGCGCAAATATCCATTAAAAAGACAGAAGACCCGTGAACCCAGTAGAAGAATTTCTAGCGCGTGCACGTGCGTCGCACGCATCAGTAGGGCACTAATCCAGGATTCACGTGACGGGCGAGTGCGCTGGAGCCATTCTTTAGCTTGCTATCGCTTCTCTCTCTCAGGAATTCTGTGGAACTTTCATCCTGCCTCGAAGGTGAAGCCCACGCAGGCATCCACTTTGGCACAGGCTTCCAGCAGCCTATCTGCCATGCAACGCAGCCGGATTGCCCCAGCCTTGGCCTGCTCCAGAGTAAGCTCTTCCTTGAAGAGATCTCTAGCGCTGGCGGGAATGTAACCCGCAAACCTGTCACAACAACTGCCCCACTTACAGCCAAAGACTGGAATCCACTTTGCTGCTGGGTTGCTCCTCGAAATCAGACTTCTGCCTTGCCTGCAGCCATGCAGAGCTGACACGCAAACTAGCTTTTGCAAGCGGACGTTGGCATTCTGAAGCAAGTTAGCTAGCATTTGCCGTTCAAAAGAATCTGCTGTTGAAAACCAGGATCTTCCACTGCTGTCATGGGTCATTGTTTGCGAATGGCTGCCAACGTGCACCAACACGGCCGCAAGCTTAAGAAGAAAGCTGACCAGCAATTAGATTTGCAGGTGGGCCGCATCATGTTTTGAGAAGGTCCTTGTGACCTCGTGACTGTCACAAATCGTTTCTTTCAGAGTCACAAAAGTCAGAAAGCGTATGTTTTCTACGCAGATGGCATACTCTGCCCTGCTTGGCAGGTGTGTACGCGCCAAGCGATGCGTCAAAACCCCTGGAACCAGCATCGGAAGGCTTCCGTTTCCACCCTCGTTTGACAGGGTGTGACAAGACATCCCCACAAACCTTCCTTTGGTTGGGTCTAGGCCTGGGAAGAACGTCAAATCGGCCTTCCGGGAGTCTTCCCCTCATTCATACCCCTTACAAAAGACATTAGATTTCGTCGTGAAACTAGAGATCCTTCAATTCCGGGCGGCTGAACTTCAGGATTCTGGCATGGCTTCGTGTGCCAACGACATGCGCACACGTGATCATAATACTTTCCGGCGCTGCACCTGCTCATGCTGCGAAAATCGGCAGACGAGGTGCACAAAGTCGAAGTAAAGGCCTCCCGGTCCCATGCGTCTTAACTCCTCTCCATGAATACACAAGGTGCTGACTGTCACAACAGGTTTTTCTTTGCTCCTGCATACAACTACATTGTCAGCACGAAAAGCTCTAATAAGTTATGGGACAGGAGCGCAAGCAAGATCTTTGTGCATCCTGAGGTCAAGACAAGAAGCTGTGCATGTCCTGTAGATGCAATGACATGCCTTCCTCGTCTAGATGCGCAGAGGAGTTCAGCAATCGCTTGCCAAAGTTTGCGGCCACCTGAGAAAAGAGCAGTCAACATGAGCGCGTAGACAGTAAGCGTTCTGGGCTTCTGAGGTACAAGCTTGGTGACCAAGCATCTCGGCAGCTGAGAGGAGACTCTCCTTACGCTGCAGTGTTGGATTTGCTTGGTATGTCTCAGGACTTGCCGCCGGAGTACGGCCCACGACAAAGCTGCTGAAGTACCCTTTGAAAGAGCCCATTCCTGACAGAAATCATTGCTTCGTACCACAGGAACATGTCTGGGACAAGCAGTGACGCTGACGGCTGTAGGTGCCCGAAGGCCCGAAATGCTGAGCCAGGGCGCTACTGCGGATCGAGGTGTCAGGCCTGATGCTCCCACCACCTGCCAGCAATTCCACTGCAAGCAACTCTGCACACCTTGGGCCATGTTGCTAACCTTAACACATTCTATTCAACGCCAACATAGGCCAAGAAAGCTTTTAGGCTCTCTGCTTTGGGCGCAAGACTTCCTACCTGAAGCGACTCTGATCAGGTCGCATGTTTGGCCTCACTTGCACGGGGGAAACGATCACCTGGACGCACTGCGGATGGCGCCAGGTCCGCGATTGCCCTTCCAAGCTATCAGTGCCCACAACTGGTCAGACAGTCCACGCTGCAGTCATAGCAACAGCACCTGCCTGGCGCTTGCGCTGGGAATGGCCGACGCAATCACCTCAAAGAAGACTGGGTGCCACAAACACCCTGCACTGTCAGTCCATATACGTACAGGCCGAAGCTGATCTAGCAGGATGCAGTACAGTACTCTGCACAAGCATACGGCAACTGGTCAGCACACGGCACACCTCATGCAACTTACTAGCATCTTGTGAGGCTTAGCGGCAGCTCGACCGCGCAGAGACTCGCTTGCTGTCACATCCTGCAGTTTGGCTGCAATGCATCAGTAGCATCTTGCAAACAAACATAAGGCACTGACACACTCTGCTGGACAATGCCTCGAAGCTTGCAAAGGTGACAGTGCCTGGGCTATGCATTTGGGGAACGTATGGAAAACCTTCACCGGACTGAGACAGCTGCGTACGCGGATCTGCAGGGCAGCGAACGCCATGACCTTGGGACAAGTATGGCAAAAGATCAAAATCTAAGTTTTACTCTTTGATTTTGCTCAGGTCTTGCGTTGGCGTCCTTTACTTATGCGAGTGGGGCCTTTGATTGTTGCCCCGATGGAGCCGCCGATGCTGGCAATTCGCGAGTGATCGGCAAATCCTGCCCCAGGCAACTTAAGTCCCTCTCTGGGCTGCTGGCCAAGAATCTGGCGAGCGAGAGATCCTCGCAAGATGTTTCGCATTGCTCTGAACCTAGAGGGCCTGAAGTAAACTTGAAATTGCTCAGCTGAATGATGCCACTGGGCTCCTTGGCATGCCAACGGATGCATCGAAGGCATGCGCATTGCCAGATGCATGGATCCTGCGCACCATGTAAAACTCTTCCTATATGGTGGAGGAGCAGACTTCCCAACCAACAGCATTGAGATCAGAGCGCAACACAAGTTGGTGGTTTCACAATATACAAATGTCACGACCCAAATGATCAAATGCTTGTGTTACACATATTGGATGTGGACTCAGCAAACTTGTGTATCTGCCATGGTTCGCAGAAGGCAGACCAAAGCAACCAGGGCACCACCGTGTAACAATGAACTTCTCGCCCTCCGTAACAGGGCAAGCACCATGCCGAACCAGTTCATCTCCGTTTCCGGACGGAAGGATGTTGTACCAAAAGACGGCAGCGCCTCCGCGTCTGGAGATAATCTCTGGATAAAAGCAACTGTCCACTCTTCCCGTTGTCATGAATACTTGAACCATCTCGTTGGCAGCAGCACCGGCTTTATATCCAAAGGCAAAAGGAGAAAGAGCCACCGCCTACACTCGATCTGTTGGTAGTAGCTTCTAGCTTCGTGTTTCCGCGGATTTCCGCGTCTGCTTCCAGCACTAGCGCCTTATCCTTGATTCATGCCCAGTAAGGAAAGAAGTGTTTGCCTCATTCGTCAACAGGATTCCTGTCCTCTTCAACCGTTACATGCCACGCTACACGCTGAAAGCTTTGACCAGTTCCCCCATTGGCATACCTTGGTCCCCGTTCTGAGAAAACGGGGGCATCCCGCAAAAGAGACTGAGAGTAGCCAAGACTTTGCAAAAAGCATGTCTAAGACGAGACCATAATTGAATGAACCCTCAAGATTCAACAAAAGCTCCACCTGCTTCCGGCTGGAGGGTAAGATTGTGTTGCACGAAAGTTGTTGAGCCACCACCTGCAGGCGTGCGCATTTTGAAAACAGCACTGTATTCCTCTCCCGAAGGCCTGGCACTGTGTTCAAGTAGATGAGGAAAGTGGCCAATCTGGGTCCCTTCTGGCCTAAGCTCGCTTTCATCAAGTAACTTTGACTCCGGACAGGAGCATGAAGACCTACTGAATTTGCCAGCTGACGAAGCTGGCCATCTTCAATCTCCAGAACAAACGCAGTTGGCTGCTTCCTGTCTTCAAATCATGAAGCCCATCTTGGCTCAACGACAATTAACTTCCAATTGCATGGTTGGGGATTCTCATCGCTCGAATGAAGAACTGCCTGTAGGCTCAAAGCCCCGCCCCATGTACACGTCCTCACTTGGAGTATCATGCAAGCAAAGCAGGATGCACATGGTTTTGTCCGAACATGTTTGCAAGCAAAAAGCTTGCCTGCGAATGTCTCCAACATGGGAGCTTCCAGAAAATTAGGGCCCCCTAGATAACCAAACACACAAAACACATGATAGAATCGCCAATTCCCAACATATAAGTATGGTAGCGCAGGGTGCGTTAGGCAGGCTCAGTTACGCACCTGTGTCTTCTGGACTTCCAAAGGCATTTGTAACTGCCACCTCCCTCCTGCGCAGGCATGCTAGGGTTATGCAATCCCGTGACCTTTGGATGGGTGAAGGCGTACCATCTCACACATTTCGCAAAACCCTTGCAGGTCCCCCAGTCGAAATGCGGCTCGTAGCTACCCTGATTCTCCGCCGTGTAGTGTGCTACCTTCCCATGACAAGTGCTTGGTTGGTTTATTGGCCAATAAGATGTCACTTTTGCAAGGCCAATGCCAAACTCCTTAAGAAGGCAAATGTGGGGTAGCATGAATCTTTGCATGACAACCTTCGCAACCACTAACATACCAGTTGGTCTGAAACAAAGCAGCGAAGGTCCAGCCAGCCTGAAAATCCTCTGCAGACTCAAGCGATAAGCCAGTGAGATCTGCGATTCGCTTGGAGATGTTCTTCAGGATCGGATCCTGAAACACTTCAGCTTTCGCGGGGACTCTGGCATCTAAATGCGGCGAAAATTTCTGGCGCTTCCCGCAGCTACATCAGAGCAAACATGGATTCAAGCGGCATGCCCGTATACCCTATGTCGAGTCCACAGTCCAACAACAACAGCCAGAAAAAATCAGCACTGTGAACCACGCCGTTTTGTTCCAACACCACTTTCCACTCCGGCGCTTCTATTCTTCTTTGCAATCAAAATCTACAGTCCCGTCTTGATCTGAATATTTCGCACGTCTCCACTGGCTTTAACAGCACACCATGCACCACTGCAATGCCAGCCGAAGCAAAAAAAAGTGTCTTCCCGCAGCTCTGTCAAATACAACACCTTCGGCGCATACCACAGTACATCCAAATGCGCAGACAGGACATGAGGCTTCGCAAAGGCACCAACCCCTGCCTCGCCATCCTCCAACCAAGCAGTCTGGCTTGTGCGGTATCGGGCACGTACAAGCTGGCCCGACTCAATCACCACACCGTCCTGGCTTCTCTCTGGAAAGCTGGTGCACACAAATAACATGCTGCCAGCTGAACGATCAATGCAGTAGAAGCGTTCGACCTACAAGAGCCTGAACTTTCATGCTATGCGGAACAACTGCTCCCGTGACCTTCTGGATGAATTTCAATCTGAGGAATGAAACCCGATACATACGAAAACCATTCGCACTTTGCCTGGAGCTTGGGCTTGGCAAGTGCAATGATGTGCTGTGCTTCAGCTGGAGATAGAAAGCCTGCCATGGATCAAATAACCAAATGCTGGACACGCTCCCCTATGAATCATGGGATCCATCATGCTTCGGCACCAGCAAAGGCTGCTGTGAAGCGCAAAGACCTGCAGCTCGGACAATGTCACGGCCGTTGCCTTTCATACGAAGTATCTGCGGTTCAGGAAGATCAGCGAGGACTTCGACCTCCTGGACCGTGAGCTGGGTTTGCTTTGAGGCAGGGCTTAAGGGGGACTAGAGAACCGGGAACCCTTCAGAGGGCAACCCAAACCTTTCTGCCTGCATAGGGTGAGCAGATGCCGCATGCCGGTGCAGCCCTTGAGTCAAGCACTGCTTCTTCAGGAGAATAACACATACAAGCAGCCTTTGAAACGGACAACTTACTGCATCTCTTCTCTTCCCCTTTCTGTGCAATGTGACTTTCCACCCTTCTCCTGCTGACTGTGCGGACTTTGAACAACCAACTTTGCCTGTCGGGCGCAAGACGGACACAAACCAAAACAGGCTGGTTGAGGACGGGGCATGTCACTTTGAGTTCTGCAGGATGGCTGCCTTCGCTTTGCCTGGAACCGCGCAAAGCCGCCGAAATGCATCAGCATCTTGTCTCCAGTCCTCGCATTCTGCACTACATCCACAAGCTCATGCCAGTTTAAGTGGCTAGTGTCGAGAGGTGAAACGCAGTTTGGGTAGATCCTGAACCTGAGGTCGCGATCCAGGAGGAAGCACACCAGCAAGGATGCTCTCTGCCTCCATGCTACAGCGAAGCCAAGCAATTCTGCTGTGGACTTTGATGCGATCATCTACGCTCAGCTGATTGCATGCTTGTAGATGCAAGTTGGGTTTGCTTCGTTGCTGCAGCTTGCAAACGTGAGATTTCTGGCATTTGGCGCCTTTGATCCTTCATCCCAGCCTGCTGTAAGCTGTAGCGTTGAGACCCGTATTGTCCCGTCGCCTGGCAGGACTTTTGACTTCAAGGCGTCCCTACGGCTTGTCTCAACAGTCACAAAGCCTCGCTGTCAGCAGCGACCCAGACGCCAACGTGACAGCGGACTCCTGCCTTCCAAGCAGCAACTCACGGCTCAGCGCAGACCTCTGCTCTATTAGTCCCTCTCTCGGGCAACTGTGCTACGCACTGCTCAGCTTGCGGGGGGTCTGCTGCCAGCATGCTCCAAGGAATTCTGCAGAAATCGCTGTAGAAGCGACTTCGCAGCCAGAGGCTTGTGCTTCGGTGCAGCCTTGTAGGAAAACAAAAGCAAAAAGCTCGCCTCAAGGTTCTCAACACCATGAAGATTGCTGCTGCCCGCCGCAATGGCCACCTCGGAATTGCCAGGGACCCAGTCACTAGCGATCACACATGAAGCTCCTGGATTAAGCATTCAGAGCAATTGCCTTGCACCATAGTGGAGAACGCGCAAAATTTGCAGGAGTGGCTCCCGCAACAATTCTATGTTAAGAGGAGTTTCGAGCCTCAGGAGTGAGAGGCTTAAGCTAAGGAACAGCCCAGGGCACGCCTTCGAACACTGTTGGCGTGCTGCACACAAAGGCTGTCGCAGAATGCTGGCAACACTCTGGGCTCACGGCCATACGGCCCTTTGCAGGCCGCAGTCGCACACGCTGGCTAGTCCCCGGGCTGTTGGCAAAGAAGAAATCGCCTGCATAAATGTCTGAAAAGGCAAGTTCCGTCATGACATGCGGCTTTCAGGTTGGGATTGGCACGTCAGCAGAAAATATCTTGAGAAGGGGAAAGGCAGGAGTGACAGGGCGAAGGACGGGAACCAATGATACTTGAAGCCTTTCAGTATGATCTTGACAGCCAAGCAAAATCATGCGCACTCCCGTCTGATCACTTATCTCAAGTGTTATGGCGTAGCTGAGCTAGCACGCCGATGCCCAGCCTCCACGAAAATCGCCTCCGTCTTGTCCGTGCAGGTACAGATACGCTGCGTGCGTGCGGGGATCAGCATTCTGCAGGATGCAGCAAGAAGCTTCGTCAATCCCATCGATCTCTCAACGCAGCGGTCGCTGTGACCGGGCCTTTTGCTCAATGCAAGGTTCACTCTCCTTCTCAAATGGCTCCTGCAGGGCCAGCATGCATTACATCAACGCATGCGCTTAGCAATAACAGCGACAACACTTGTGCAATGTGCCATTGGCGGCACATTGCAGACACAAAGCGCTGCACTACGCCGCACTGCATGCCACAACCTGCCTGCTGAGCACAGCCACGGTCTGAGTGCAATGGATGGCTGTCGCCTGCCTGCTCCGCCAGGACAACGCCAAGAACATGCAGAGAACGGCATGCCAAGCCTCTCCTGTCCCGGGGTCTTTTGCTCGGCAAACCAGTTGTGCAAAGTGGAGGGTGGCTTGCCTCGGTGTGAAAGCAATCAAAACCTTTTGCGAGCATTCGATGACCGAGGAAAAGCTCAGCCAAGCAAGCACGCGCACGACCAACGCAAAAGGCGCCCGGCTGCAGCTTGAAGATGTTGTCAAGCCAGGTGCCTGGAGTAGCTTCGATGAGCTGCGTGGCATCCCTGGATCCCGTTTCTGAGGAACCACACGCATGAAATTCGACCCACTCCATCTGAACTGCAAACTTGAAGTGGACATTGCAAATCACAGGGCGAGTACCGCCATAGATATTTACTCCTGCCTCAGAAGCCAAAGCAATACAGGCCCAGCCCTTTGGCATGCAGGATACAAACTCTCAGAATGCGTCTGAGGAGGGAAGAGGAATCAAACATGGAATGCTCAGAGAGACCCAACATGTACCAAGGAATGTACAGACAATTTGGATGGATGCGCACAAGGTAGAGACTCTTCGGGCTTGGGATGGAAATTGCGTCATAATTACCTCACTTGTCGGTTGGAAGTCTGGAAAATGATTGAGCGCCACAGGACGCACACAGAAATGCCGAGGTACTCATCGTGCGAACCACCTCACGTCAAAGTGCTTAACTTGTTATGGTGGGTACTCCTCGGACTTCAGAGTTCCATTTTATTATCTGCACCATCTTGGCAAACATGCTAACTCCGTCCGTCCTATCCCTTTGAGCACCAACAGACTGCCGGTCTTGCAATTCTTGCGGCAATGGCAACTGTAATGGCTCTTCACTCTCGACTCTCCAAAATGTAAATTTCGCAGCAACATCTGGTGGTGATAGTACCGCTAATGGCCTCTTCCAACGAGAACAGCCTCGTGATTAACTACCAATGCAATGAATTCAGCGCAGCCAGAAAAGCTCCGCCTCCACGAAGCTGCGCGCAAAGGCCAAAGCATCTTGGCGGCCAAACTCGGCCTTGAGAAGCCCGGAGCACAGCAACTTGGAATGCCAGACAGCCTAAAAGACAGCTCAAGGAATCAAAACACCTATGCAAGGGCTGGACTTGAGAACTACCCCGGTGCTCGGGGGAATCACGTTGCTTTTGAAGTTTGCTGGAATATAAAAGCGTACAAACGCACAGGTGGCTTTGTGGCTGCGTCGGCGACGCTGAGACCAGAAAGCTGAGACGGCTGCTTGCCGCACAGCCCAATCAGCAGCATCGAGGAGCTGGATTCCAGCCCATACCTAGCAGGTCTCGGATGTTCTCAATGCTGCACACTGGCAAAAATTGGAACGACTCTCCCATGACCTGAAGTAAGCGGGTTTCCCAACACTTTCGCTTACCCTTTGAGGTTTCTAGTTATGGACTATGACTTGACTATGAGCATGGCTGATGAGCCTCTATACTCCTCACCTGTGGTCCCTTAGCACGCCCAATAATACTCACCTCACCATGCAAAAGGCCTCATCCTTTTTGAAGGGACGTGCTTGGCCCCCGTAGCCATCTCCAGGGATGACTGCCTGGCTGGACTTAGGTTTACGAGAACAATCAGACTTCGAGCTATGCGAGGTGAGAAGACGACCAGCAAAGCTAGCAATCAGGAAACTGCCCTGCCCGCAACAAGGAAAACAACATCCATATCTATCAAACGAATGAAATCCCATCGTGCTCATGGCGCAATCAGTCAAACGTGCGATGGCTTTAACTCCTAACACAGGTCCACCACCTGCCTCTCACATGCTGAGCATGCAGCGCATCAGTCGAAACAGTTTAGAATCCATTTTCTCCACAAAGGTTCCCCGACCTCGCGTGCTAGCGCCAGCAAATCATCCAGAAGGGCTGGGTGCACTGCATCCTTGCATGACAGCCACCAAACAGAGCTTTGATCAGCCCGTAAAACGCAAGAGCTTGCAACAATGTCGTTTCGACTTGTCCTCCACCAGGTATCGCCCACGGAGCTCTTCATGAATTGTAAAATTGCCACAGCCACCGCAGTATGATTCCATAAACTGTGGCTTCCTGAGCATATTCGTGATAGGAAACAAGTTGAAGGCACTGTGGCACAGCACGGCAAATCAGTGTGCCACGTACGACATTCCTATCATTCCTGTAAGATGTTCTTTCCAAGGAGCCTCAGACATGCTCCCTCAGCCAGCATCCTGCACATCAAGACATGAAGTCTAGTCTCCTTGCTTCACATGTTTTGCGCTGAAGCAACAGTATTGTAGCCCCATGGGAACGATTTGAAAGGCAGAGCTATGATTGATTCATAGATTCGACACATTGAACAGCGGGCGTGGCCCGTGAGGCTTGCAGCTTCAAAACGTCTCACAGGTCCTGGTACACTCGAGTTCATCAGCACCTGTCCTGAGCGGTCAGCACCGCTGTACGTGATGAAACCACAATCAGCTTAGGCGGCAATCTAACTCTAAATTCTCCACAGCAGAAACCAGACAAGCGGCATCCCTTTTGTGATTGGAAGTGGCTTTCTCATGAAACTTGCTCGGTGGTTAAGCCCAGATATTGCTGAAAAAGTTTACTAGCAGCAGCAGCAGCGGCGGCGGCGGCGGCAGCAACAGCAGCAAAATCAGCAGTAGCAGCAGCCATGCTCTTGTTGAAAAGAGGAGTGGGCCATGAGCTCCTTCGGGATGATTCCCTGTTGCCAAATGGGTATCGCGCAGGTATTGCGAGGGGTATCCCAGCAATTGCCACCCGAAATCGGGCCGGGGGCATGGAAAACTGACTTCTTGCGAATGCTCACCATACACTTGAGCAATCTCCAGGATGAGGTTTAGAGGCAAGCCATCCGGAATAGCATCGCGCGTATAACATAACTTCCTCGGCAACAATTAACTACTCGCCTCTAGGATTGAGTCTCGCTCTCTAGGCAATTCCAACTGGTGTTCTTGTGTGCTGATACAAACGGCCATAAGTTGGATCAACTTTGCTGATCCTCCCAACTAGCTCATGAGTGTGACCTTTTCATTCTGGCAACAACCTCTGTACCAGGCGCTCGCACCGAAGCAACACACGGAGAAGCTACAACGAGCTCGTTCTACCATAAGCTTTCAATCAAACCACTTCCAAAAAGCAGCCACCACATTTTACTATATCGAGCAAAGTTCTCAGAATTATGCTCCTGCTGCGAGGTCCCCATCTTAAGATCCACTTCTAAGGAAACATCTGGTTGGATCGACCGTCGACAGCAAACTGGGTGACCGACCCCAACGTGCCCTGGAAAAGGACAGCTGCACAAGCCTTGTGAGATTGCCAGTACCACGCGGTGCACTGGTGTCTTTGTTGCTCACTACTCCCGGACATGCCGACATATGCCGGCCAAGCATACAGATTCTTGATGCACCTGAACGTGCCAAAAGCCTATCCATGCTCAGATTGCAGCCGCTCGTTTCCTCATTCTGCATCACCTGGGAATCATGCCATCCCGTCATTTGCCGTGGCACAGCCTAATAAAGAAGCTGATGCCTGTAGCAAAACGTGCAACCATCGTAAGTGTCGTGCAGAGAGCATTCCTGTGCAAGCTCATGCTGAGCGTCTGGCATGGGAGATGGATCTCTCAGAAGGTCGGCGTACATTGAGCACATTGCTCATAATTGACGATGCCCGCCACGCGTTCATACTATGCTGCGGAAAGGTTTGTAACACCATCTACCATGCGGCCAAAGTCTGGGACTTTGGGAAATCTCAAGACTCGTGTACCGTTTGACGCAAATATGATTCATGCGCAGCAAGCTTTTTCATGCAATATGCAGGTAGATGCATATACATCTACATGTACATGTACATGTGCAAATACATGTACATATATATGTATATACAGTTATCTGCCCATCTATCCAAACTAGCTTGTACCCCATGTTGTCTCTGCTCAGTGCGAAAAAACCCTTTCTGAAAGCTCTCTTTGAGAAAGCCGACGAGGAGGGGCGTGACATGCGACAATGGGTGCACATCTCAGAGTCCTCAACTCAAACAAAGGTTGCAGGAGGTTCCCAAGTCAAGATTTCTCCAAGAAGGGCCAAGGAGCGTAGACACAGACTGGGTAGGATACCGACACGGCGCAAAGAATGTCGCACAAGGATACCAACTAAATCGATCTTTCGCATGCAGCGCCGCTGGCATGGCATGCGCGGGGCTTGCCTGAGCCTTCTCGGTGAGGACACTTCGGAACTCGGTTGGAGCGTCTGCGCGAGCCGCAAGCCTGGCTTATCCCCTGTTCCACTTCTGCTTTCTGCCACACGCACCACCGGATCCAAATCCAGATTCCACATGATCAACCCCTGTTACTGTAGCGTGGAGCAGACCCAACCAATGAAACTTGGCTTCACCTTTCATTGCCGCCGACAGCGCTTTCACTAGCCTGAACTTACCCCTAAGCCTGCTTTGAATTCTGACTCAGCTTTGCAAACAGCTTGCCTATCTCTTGCAGCTGCTTTGACTGTGAATGCGACTACTCCTACCGCTGTGACTCCGACTCCACCTCACCCACCACCATCACAACCACCTCTTCTGCTGCTGCTGCTGCTGCTGCTGCTGTCACAGCTGCTGCTGTCATTGTTGTCGTGATAGTGATAGTAATAGTAATAGTTCTATGAGAGTGTTGATGAAGAAGGAGAACGAGGCGACAACGAAGAAGGAGCAGAATAGTAATCAGTAGAAGCAGAAGCATTGAGGAGGAGGAGGAGGTGGAGGTGGAGGTGGAGGCAGAGTAAGAAGAGGAGGAAGGCGAGATGGCTGCCGGTGATGCAGGTGATGGCAGGGAATGCTGCTGCTGCTGCTGCTGCTGCTGCTGGTGCTGGCTGCTGTGTGCTGGATGCTGGTTGCGCTGTTGGTGCTTACTTCGATGACCAGGCCACAAGTGCATACGCTTTCCAGAGCATCCATGCCCAAACCATAATAACATGCCCAAACCACAAGAAAAGAGGCCTTGCGCCTTGAACGACCCCAACTTGGCAGGGCTTCAAAACAAAGTAGTTTGTCCAAGATTTTGAGGCCCTTTTTTCAACCTCCAAGACGAGTTTCGATCGCAGTGCTTTCCGCTCCTGCCATGTACTTAAAGCCACCAGGCGACCGGCAACAACGTTAATTACTTGGCAGTATTCGGAGCAGTATCAATATGATATGGTTGCAGTAGGTAGTAAGTAGATGTAAGTAGGAAGCAGTCAGTACCAAGCAGTAAGCAGCTGGTAGAACGCAGTATTAGGCAGTAATTGGGAAGTGGCAAGTAGTAATTGGTCAATGGTAGTAGCTAGAAGGTCGTACCTAAAAGCTATCAGTTTTTGACTACCGAGTAGTAAGTATGTAGTAGATAGCAGTAAGTAGCAGAAGCAGGAGCAGGCAGGAGCAAAAGCAGGAGCAGCAGCAGTTTTTCATGCTCATTTCATGTCGATTTTGCGGTGTATATTGGAGTTTTATGCGGCCCTTGCTTGTGTCAGTATGAAATGTTTGGTCTGTGGGCGCTTGCATCCAGGTCTGCAGTGGTGGAAGCAGCTTTGAAAGCTTGATCTTGGGTAAGAGTGACGAGGGATGCGAGTAGCAGGTGAGAAAAGGGATTGAAACGGTGTCCTGAACCCCAAACCCTTTCCTTCTTTCAAAATTAATTGCCCCTCGCGTCGAGGGCCGGCAGGCTAGAAGCAGGGACGCAATGCTGGCATTGCAGATTGGCCCCCCCCCTATCTCAGTCTATCATGTATTACAAATTCGATTGTGTGCGATGTACCTTACAGTCTACTTGTTTTAAATCGTTTCTTTGCAACACGGCTGCCTTGTGACTAACCAGCCTTCATGTGTTCGCTCAGCTTTTGCTTTGCATGGCGTGGCCGGCTCTGGGCACCAGCCCCCTTAATAGCGCCACAGTGGCAGCAGCAGCAGCAGCAGCAGCAGCAGCAGCAGCAGCACCAGCACCAGCAGCAGCAGCACTATAAATTACATACTATTGTTATTATCATCATTAGTATTCTGATTTGCCGGTGTCTTGGTATTTCTCTTCATCGTTGTCGTCGTCATCATCATCTTACATCCTGGCCGTATTCTTCTAAAACTAGCAATATCACCACTATTGCTACTTACTGATATTCCATCACGGTTATCACTATCATTCCTCTTCCTAGTCGTGTTCTTGTTCTGTCTACATATTTGGTTTTGTCTTGCATGCTTTCATTGTTTGTTGCACTAGCTAACTGCATGTTGGCAAGAATGATGAAACATCAGCACAGAGGCCGCTGCTGCCGCTGCTGCCGCTGCTGCCGCTGCTGCCATCGCCGCCGCCGCTGCTGCTGCTGGCGATGTTCTTTCTCATCCTTTTACCCACCCCGCGCCACTTCATACAAGTCTGAGAATGTTGCGTACTCAGTAGTTCTGGTCGGCTCCCCTCCTTCCAGGCTGGTCAGACGCCAGACCATTTCCTTCATCCTCTCTTCTATCTGACATTTCTGCTCTGAAGTTACCTTGGCCATCTCCCTATGGACGGAACTGAACTCACCAAAAACTGCATCCACAAGAACTTACTGCAAAAACGAGGCGGTCAAGCAGGCTGCTTGACATGTGCAGAAGTGCGCCTGACCACCACCATTGCGGATTGACTGCTATGAGACACATCTGTTCTGAAGTTCTGCGCGCACATGATCATGAAGCAGCCTTGAAACATGGAGGCATAGCCACCAACCTCCCCAGCCTAGTGGCAGGTCCGATGCACGGCGTGAGAAGTTCTCAGCAACTCGCTCCAGCAACAGCGTGTCCTGGGCACTAAGCTCTCTGACAAGAAGACACACGATCTTGCCTTTACCTCGTTTGGAAGCCGCAGCCGTCAGAGCCCAGCGAACACGAAACGAACGCAGACTCCCTTTGGTTTGTGCTTGCATGGCATCTTCAGGTTACCTCAGGCCCTCCCTGCACAGCTGATACAATCAGCATGCTCTTTTCACGCAAAACAGCAATCTAATGAAAAGAGCATGCAAGCCATGTTGCAGCCAAAGAGCCGGCAAACCACCTTTGTCGTTGAGCTGCACCAGAGCCCGAGCAAAGTGGGCAAGCTCCAAATGCCTTCAAAGCTTACAGTTGACACCTTGAGGCGACCTGAATTTGAGTACCTTACAGAAGCATTACAGTACTGCGCAAACTATTGCGGTTCTGCCAGCAATGAGATGCGTCAATCAGCAAGCACCTTGTCACTTCAAGCACAATACTCTGAATGCCTGGCCTCATGTCACCCAGTCTCTTCTCTGCCTTCATTTGCAACCTGGCATCGCTGGGGCAGAAGGCACATCCCAGGCGAAACCCGCTGCACAGTTGAGGTGCGCCTCTGTAAAAATAGTTGACCCACCACAAGCCTTGTATCAGCAACAGGAACCAGACGCATCCAGGAAAATACGGCATATCCCTGAAGGCCCTAGAATCCATGTCCTCAACTTGTCAGGCCCACTCGCGGCAAAATGCGACAGCTTCGGCTCGGACCTGCCAAAACCGCATATCTTTGATGCGTGGAAGCTGCTGCAATCAGACCAGAGCTTTGTGGTTAGGGTGGTAGAAAGGAGTCGCTCTGCAAGCCCAACTCCTGATGGCACAGGTTGTCTGATTCTGTTCTACCCTTAGTGCAGCACCCTTTCCGTTCTCTTTCAGCAGCACTGACAGTTTTCTTTCAGATGCACTGACAGCTATTCTGACACCGTGATTTACTGGCTTCCAGAGATAGTCCGAGATAAAATGCTTGCCGATGAAAAGAACAGCTGGCACATGCCCTCTTTCTTTAAAGCAGCCTATGCGCTCTCATGCGCCTTTGTAATTCGTCAAAGCTCAAAAATTGCGCTGAAAGCACACCAAACGGGATGCACTCGTTGGAAAAGGCCTGCGGCATGTGCTGGATGGAGAACTCCGCAAGGAAGCGTAAGGCCAGAACAACATCCTCAGCACACGGATCAGTGTCGAGCTTCCCGCTTAAACGCTTGGCTGATGAATTCCGCGGAGCCGTCTACGCAAAATCCTGTGTGATTGCAAGGCCGAGGATGATGGCATAAAATCGTTGGGCTGCCCACAATGGGTCTCCAATGGTGACGCCGCAGGCGCCATCTCAGCTCCATGATCACAGGCCTGCATCACAAAAACAAGCTGGAACGTACCATGTCCCCAAAAACACATGTTCGAACTGACCTCGCCCCTTCAGAGCTTATTCTAAGCATCTGTCTGCATGTCAGGGCACAAACAAGTGCCATCGAATCTTCTCGTAAGATGGGACTGCGTATACTGCAACCGGTAGCGTGAACAGTGTCTAGTAAAAAGGACAGCATGTATGCAACAGTACACCAAGTCCTGTCCATGGCCTCAGAGCACCGACCCACGGGCAGTAGTTAAGACGGCGCAGAGACTGTAGGCACAGCGAGTAGTCCCTGGCCACATGATCAGATGGGCTGCGGGAACATTCCATACAAGTCTGCATCTAGCAGTTTATGCTCCTCATTTTTTTCACAACAAGCGGAAGAGGAACACGCCAAGATAGCCAAGAGCGTGCCTTTCTTGACATCAGGCAGAACTTCGCTTGCAAAGTGCAGCTTTCTTTGCATGAGCATGTGTTGACCACATACGACTGCATGTTGGTGCCACAACAACCCAACCCTCAGTTGTAAGGAGGGCTTCCGCAAGAAGATTCTCAGAAAACCTCGCTTGCGTTAGTTCAATCAACTCCTTCTCATATCTTGAAATTAACTCCAAGCCTCACAGTGCCCCGCCGAAGCTCCGCGCCACAGCGCATGGCCTGATAGAAGGTGCTGAGGGTGTGGGATTGGGATTCCGCGTCTGGCTTTTGGGGTATGTTGTGAGGGACACCAGGATACACCACCCCGAATGCACTGAATCATGACTTCTCCAGCAAAACTCATCCCGATTCGCACTTGATAAGACAAGCAAACCTCGTTCATCGTGCAGGTCATGCGGTTTCAATAGCACTGCGGGACCAATCAGAGGCTTGATGCCAGCTGACCTCTGCAAGGCCACAAAGCAAGTAGTCGTCGCGCCAGGACACCTGTGGTACCACAGAAAGGGACAGGGCTCAGCTCGACCGACGAATCAGGTTACACGCCACGGGCAAAAAGAGCAGGCCTGGGCACAGCTGTCCAGAATTCCTGCCACGTGACTGACCTGCGAAGTGGAATCCCGAGCCGCTGGGACAAAATCTCAGTCACCAATACCCTTCTCCAGCAAGTAGAATTCTAGTAGTTGGCACTGAAAACTGGCAGTATTCCACCCAAATCCGACAAAGAAACAGCCCGAAGCATGAATTCGTGTTGTCCATGTGCCTTGAAATGGCGTAGCGAGTACACAGCTGTTCGGCTCAAAGCCTCCCAGGTCCTTTCAAATTCAGACGCGTCTTGAGCACCGCATGAGAAAGCAGAAGCATCCTCGTGTCCCGCGTCCCCGACTTAGCTGCCTGTCGAAACTGCATTGGCCTGGCAGATCGAAAGCTGGGTAAGATGAGCTTGGCATAGGCCACTGAAGCTGTGACAGTCTTACACAGCTGCTGAAACCAATGCAAGGAATGAGGTGCTGGCACATCTTCCGGACTGGCCAACTTCGTGAATAAGTCTAAGCTCTCTTGTGAGAGCTGCGGCTTTGCCTGGCAGAGAATGCAGGTTCATGAAGAGTCCTTTGCATCCTTTGCGGGATGCGTTGATTCGCTTGCGCCAACGTTGTGCAAATGCCGCAAAGACTTTCACAAACGCATACAGCCTTATGCTTCGGGATGCGCTCGAAGATCGAAGCGGGTTTGCCCGCATCCAAACCAGCAACAGAGTCGTTCGAAGAAGAGGCAATGGCCGGCGAGGACAGGTGCCTGCCAGAAGCGGACAAACACCGTCCCAAGGGGCATGCAGCTGACATCATTGCAAAGTGCACATGCGGATATGATCGCACTTCTACCGCTAGAGGTGCTGGAGCCTTGGCAAAACCGCCGTCTGCCCGGCACCCAGCTGAGCGCCAAGCCGCAGCGTACCGCTAGGGCGAAGCATTCGTGCTCTGACATTGCAAGCAATACAAAAAAGTCTGCAAGAAGGTGCATGTCCAGCGCAGGTTAGCACAGCATGGAAAACCTGTGTGCAACATGCAGCACGTCTTGCGAACAAAACAAGCACAAAAGGTTAGGCTATCATGTGGCAACGTGTGACAAAGAGTACCTTGAGCATCAGAGACCTGTGGCACATGCCCATGTTCATGTCTGCTGGACACCTCTGAGGCATTCCACCGTTGTCTTCCCATCCAATGGGTGACATGTGCAACGCAAAACAAACGGTTGAGTGGAGAACACACGGCCCACGTGTTCGGATCCCACTTGCTGCTACAAGTCTGGACTGGTGCTTTCGAATCCGGCTCCTCTCCCAGGCACTGAGAGCCCTTACCTTCTTGCGTACCTGAGCCTTTTAATAGAGCGTATGATAACATTCAATACTGTTACCGACATCAAGATGAACGCATGGTAAGGCCTTTTCAGAAAACACGGGAGGTTCCAAGAACTCAACACTTCCCACGAAAGAATGGGAACCAAAAGGAAAGCAAGAACGAAGCAGATAACAGCCTTCGTTTTCCTGCCTCGTGAGTCCCAGCCAATGGAGTTCACCTCCCCCTGTTGTCGGTTGCTTCATACCTCCAGCCCGCTCCTGAGCAAATCGCTCTGAACAGGAGACATCAAAGCGATCTTCAAGGGAATCGTACTAGAAAAGTTGCAATTGCAGTATATGACGTGGTGCATAGTAAAAGATACTGATTGAAATTCAAAAAAAGGGAACCCGCAGGAATACCAAAGAATTGGAAAGAACGAAGTAAATCCCCAGTCATTCTTCTTGTGTTTGACTTGTAGGTTCTGGCCAGCGGGACGGGTCCTGCCTGGTGCGGCCCTCCCCATGCTACCAGGCCCGCCAAGTGCCAGGCCGCTTGGTGTCCCTGCAGCTGGACCCCCTGAGCCCTGCTGCGGCCGGCCACCCCTGGCCCTGGCCAGCCCCGGAACCTGTGGATCTTCTTCCCCTTGTCCTTCACCGCAATGGGCTCTGGCGTGGGTGTTATTTTGGTAAGACAGGTTGAGCATAAGCTGCTCCTTCGAAAGATGCCTGAGGCCCCAAGGAACTAGGCTTGCCGCTTGGCACTGGGAACTTCTCTCTTGAAATGACATTCTGCAACTTTTTAGGGCTGCCTCCTGTGCAACTTTCCGGAATCTCTCCACAGACGGGCTGACCATCATGCCGCGCTGCGGTACCCATCAAACTTGCTGAAATAGTATATAGGGACTATATTCCCTTCATCCCTTTGAAGAATAAGAACCAGTGAGCAAAATGTGAAGCATTGATAGTCAGCATTTCTGAATACTTCCAGTTGGGAGTAGCAAGCAGAAAGGCTCTATTTCCGACACTGTTGTCCTTGACTTGAGTGCAAGCTAACACCGAACTGAAGTAGGAAAAACCCTGTCGCTTGAAATCTACGGTTGTGAACAACCTCTGCTTCTGCCAACATTGCAACTGACAAGGCCACTCCCATGCTCCCTTCTTACTTCAAGCAAGGTACGTGAACTAATCCACACATTAGTACCTGTGTTCTTCCTTTCTTTGGCGACTCGCTTGCAAAACAAATGACATCCTAGCCAGTCCATCAAGAACCTGCTGGCAAGCTACACTGCCTGCTGGCTTCCTTTCACCACTGGGTCCCTGAGCAAAGAAGTCTCCAGCCCCGTCAACGGACTTTGCCCGCACGAGTTGGGACACCAGGATTGCTCTTCTGCATTCAACTTGTGCAGAGAGACAGGACACGAGCTATCATCAGAGCTCGCATGGCTGAGCGCAGATAGCCCGCTCTCCCGCTAGACCGTGCAGCTCAGCAAGCATGCTGCTTGTGCACCTCAAGCTTATTGGGAACCACAAGTGCTTGGTGGCATTGATGGTCACGCATGGAAAGCCGTGTTGACAGGCCAAAGAACGGGGGGTAGATGGGTTGGTGGTGATGATGGTGTGACGGATGTGGGTGATGGTTTGACAACGAGATCAACGAGGCAACGCAACAGAATGCAAAAGAGCAACAAAAGGACGACAAACAACATGGACAAACATGGGACATCATGGGACAAAGTCGTAGGCATGACTCATGACGGTAAACGTACTGATGATGATCATGATGACGACGATCGTGATGCAGTAGCGGCTGGAGGGCCGAGCTGGCGGAGGATGAGGAGGAGGATGAAAGGGAAGATGGGAGGAGGCGGCTGATAGTGCCATGGGAGACTGTGAGTCTTACGCCGCTCGAGACAAAATGGCGATGGTCGTGATGATTATGATGCCGCCGATGACTCAGCATTGGCGATAATGACAAATATTATGAACAAATGCAAAATGGTGCTTGACATGCCTGGGGATGAAAACATTCACAACGATCAAAAGGAAGATGACGGCGTGGGCAATGCGAACTACACCAATTACAATTACGACAAGGACAGTAATAACAATGCCGCAGCCGGAGCTGCTGCTGAAGCTACTGATGATGAGGATGATGACTGCAATGATGGCCAGAGCCATATCATGGCTGCAGCTATGTCAATTGTGATCAGAATGGTGATTCGATAGCGCTTGTGATCATATTTGATGGATCTTAATATGGTGATCATGGATCATAGGGCGGCATACTTGGGGATGATGCATAATGACAAAGGACAACGACAATCACTGATATCATTGGACCGCGAGAAGAGACATGGAATGAAGGACAGTGAAAGTGGGGATTTATTATGGCAAAGAAGATGTTGACAGTGGAGATAACACCAGCAACGACCATGCTGAGGATGGTTTTGGAGATGGTGATGATCGTCATGGAAATGAGAGTGATGGCGGACGGTGGAAGTATGCGTCCACCCCCTGCTATCCCCCCTCATCCCATGATAGACCCAGTAGCTCACAAACTTCAAGATTTGCCTCCCGTGTCCTGCGAAAGTAAGCCCAGCTTGCACTAGCCCTTGTCGCCTCTCTAACGACCCTTACCTGAGGGCAACGCACAGGGAAGCAGTGGAGCTCGCGCTTGCCGGGCAACTTGCCAGGCATGGTTCCTTGGCGCAAACAAGTAACAGCAGCTGCCACGGTTGATGCGGATGATGTCTTGAAGCTTGCAGGTAATCATAAAAAAGGAGCTGTTTTGTGAGGCGCCTGAGCCTGCGACCCAAGCGAGAATGCGGCAGCCAGCCCGAAAAGCACAAAGAACACCTTCGTCAGCTTCAGAGCGTCTAGCTAAACCAAGGTATCTGAGGAGCCAATATCTGCGGCACCCTTCTGATTTAAATACTCAGCAGGCCTTGCGAACTGGCCTGCCAGGACCTGCAACAAGATGCGTTCATCATCTCAGATTGCTACGCGCATGCCAACAATGAACCTTCAAACCTGAGCCTACCCCAGAATTTCATCGAATTTTGCCACAGATTTGTTTGGCCTGCTGGTTTGCTCTGTCGCGCCACGAGCTCTTCCTCTTGGCAGGGTTTGCTAGATGAAATCAAGTCCATGTGTCCTTGGATTTCCTACCACGGAGCCTCGGAGGACCATGGCAGCTCTGCTGTTGGGGCTGCTGTAGGCGCCGCCTCCGCGGAGTCGCATCTAGACCGACAAGTCAAAAAGCAATGACTCTTCGATGATCTCAGTAGGCCGCCTCCAGGTAGCGTTTCATGTCCTCCTGCTCCAGTGTCGCAAGAAAACGCGTGTTCATGCATGTTGAACTCAACACATCATGCAACCGCACTGCCACAAGGATCCTTCGTAGCAGAGACAGAGAGGCCCTTAGCCTGCAAAATCAAAGATTTCAAAGCATGACAAACAAAAGCCTTACGCTGTTCGCTTGCCAGCTCACAGTCTGATGCAAATGCTCTGGATTCCATGCCTGAACCGATTTAGATCTCAGCAAAGAAGTGTTCTACAGATTGTAAAGCATTTGAGGCTGCTTTGGCAGTGAGGCTCAGAAAAAACAGAAGAGTGGTCAAGGCCGCACGGTAGCACAAAACTCCAACCTGCATCCATTCATCTGCTGTCATGGGGTTTGTCTTGCCAGCCACGTGAGGATAGGGGCACCTCAGTGCATTGACCATGGATTGAAAGAACAGACCCACACCTTCCTTGTTGCTGGTCTTCTGGTCTCGGATTTGCACTCCCGCGGATAGGCGTGGTGCCTGGGCAGGTGGCCACTCTCTATCAGCCGGAGTTCAGCGAACGTCTAGCGCAAAATGAGAATGCTTCAGCCACAAGGACAAGGGCAACTCAGTGCGCAGCAACCATTGTGCGAAGAGGCGCCCGTGCCTGGTGTTCGACATTCCAAAAGAATCACAGGTAGGCAGTTCCTGTCCCCTCTTTCATCACCAGAAGCTATGCGGAAGTTGTTGTACGAATGTCGAGGCACAACGGCACCACACCACCATGCTGTGCGGCAACCTGCGCGGCCAAGGCTATCCAAGTACAGGCACTGGGCAGGGCTCAGAAAGCTGCTAAAGGATCACCGGAGCATGTCTGTGCTGGTTGAACATGCCCTTTTATTTCGATACCCCGTGCTTCCTCCCGGAGACGGAGTCCAAGCTGACTCGGGAGCCTGGCCCGGCAAGGGCAAACAAATGCAGGCCGCCTATCAGTGTTCCACCGAGGGGCCCTCGAGGTGCACGCACGGTCGCGGAGGGCAGCGTGGACACGATCTGCAGGAGTTGCTCGGGAGTCGCCTTCTTCAGCTGTCTTCCCATTGGTAACATTTCAATGCACTTGCCCACAGCTACTCCGCAGCCTCAGGAGCAGCTACCTTGGCTTCGAGGTGTCCCAGCAGCGCCTGTTGACAGGCGAAAGCGTTTCGACATTGCTGAACAAAGCTGCAAGGTTTCATCAAGGCTCTGCAAGATTCAAGTCTCTGCTGTCGGGGTCTTTGCTTGAAGATCAGAAGCTGTCCTGATGGCTGCATATGTTTGGAAAGTACTTTAGCTAGCTCCCTGCTGGTTGGTATGATGCCAGGACGACTGCGGCATCGATGTGTCATGGCACATGAATCAGTGAATTTGTGAACCAGTTCTCAGACAGTCTAAGGAAGTTATTTATGCATTGATTGCAAATTCGTTTAAGCGTCAACCAAATCTCAACAATCCTGAATATCAGCATCTGCCTCGCACTCGTTGATGCAACAGACCGAGTAGATACTGGATGATGCCACGCAATTCGAGTGTGAGTTGACATAGTTTGGGATGAACACGGCCAGCTGCGAAGGATCCGACCTCGGCGAAGTGTGCAGGCAGCTGCTTCAAACCGAAGCAGGTTCAGACGACATCTGCCCAAGACCGTGCACACAAAGAAAACGTGTTGCTTGCTGGTCATGGGGCTCATCCAGCGCTCCTAGTTCACGAAGGTAGTCAATGCTCTCCTTCGCATGGATTGACTAATCGTTGGGAAGAATTTATGTCTGCATGTTGCATTCCAAGTCTCAGAGAACTGCCACTGACCGCCCAGCGCAGCCGAATAGAAATCCTTTGCCAGCGGTAGCTTCCACCAGCAAGCTGATTCAGCTCATGCATAGTAAGTTTGCATTGTCCTTGAGAAGAAGTCGTCCACTGCCGGTGTGTTCGTACTTCATAAGCGAACCTGGGCAAAGATGGCCGCAGGCGCTGCAAACAAATCTGCGCGATCCGTTCATTCAAGACCGAGCCGCTCTTCAAGTCACGGCACTCTGAGTCTTGCCATCGGCCATACCTCTCACCAATCTCCTGCACAGATCCACTCTTCTCACAAGGCCTGTTTGTGCAAATGCACTGGCCAGCATCCATTAACATCCTCAGGTGCTGAACAAGTGCGGACACGCACGAGCCATGCCTCGACGATCTCTGTAGCTGCCCGGAATGAGAAGTTGTCAGGAGCAAACTCCACATCCAAATCCTGACTGGCATACTCAAGGATGCACCATGCGAATCTGCATTGGCTAGAGAGGCACGCATGTTCAAAGCATCAACGCATCATCAAGCACCACTTTCATCCGATTTCAGGAGCGGTCCTTGCTCGCTACCACGGTGGAGCGCACTTGCACCGTAAATTTTCGCGTTTCATGCCATCCGGGGTAGCTGTCCGCGATCAGCGCACGCTCCTCATGCATTTTAACAGATGGCAGGCTCCCCAGCTTCCCCAACTTCCTGAGATACGAACCGCTTCCTACAAAACCCAACATGCTTGCCGAGCTTCACTTGAAACTGTATTTGCGGTGAAGTTTTGCGTTCCAACCAAGAAAATCGTCATGTAGGTGTCAATCAACTCCTGTAACGTGACCTGCACAAAACACCGACATCAGAAACCAACCTCAAAACAACAGAGAAAGAAATGCAGCTTTCTAGCTTCTGCCTCTTGCACCCGATCCGACATAGAAATGTTGTGTGCCTGCACAGCAGATCATAGATAGCATCCAGACATGCAGCTGCACTTTCGATAAGAACCTCGTACACCACAGACAGCCGATTCACCGCCTTGTGCACACAAGCACGGACAAAACTGCCGTCACACGACAAAGACCGCCATGAACAATCTTTGGACAGCATGCACTCCGTTCACGAGTACAAGGAGAAGCACTTGTGCCAGAATGTTGGAGTCAGCCTCGTCATGAATTAGGTGCTCCAACGTGGCTGCCAGCACGGTCAGCTCATGAAGGCCAAGCCCCTGGTCCTGTGCAAAAAGAGTCAATGGGTTCCACAGTATGGCCCAGCTCCAGATGTGAAAATGACTTGACGAACTCTCAGGGACGTTGCTTTTAGAATGGAATCCAGGCTCCACCTGCTGAATCCGCAAGAGGTCTGCAGCTTTGTCATGTTCAGCGATTTCCGGGTCTTGGACCTTCCCCAAGCCATTTTCTTTTTCTGCAGCCATGGAGTGGCGGTTGCCACCTTGTTGTTTCCCAAATCCCAAGAAAGCCCCACAATGCGGCTCGGTGATAGCGGTAGTATCACACCAACAATGTTGCACGCACAAGTTGCTCCCGCCAGTTGCTCCATGCTGTTGAAGGACTCTTGCTAACGCCACCAGGCGGCGGCGGTCAAATCAGTCTTTGGGGTGCGCGCAACTGAAGCCCATTGACAAGTAAACAGTCCTTCAAGCGATCTTCGAAAAGCGACAGCACAAAGGACGGGACATGCTCCTCCAGAACCTGACGTGCTGCATCAATGCAAGCCTCACAAGACATTCCTTGCGCGCGCTGCAGCCTCTGTAGTCGTCATGTTCTTCCAGTTCATGCCGTTGGCCTCCAGGCCCTGCCAGGAGCGTCGATCGTACTTCTGAGCCTCAAGCCTAACATCCTGCTGCCAAAGCCCAGAGCCTTGATGTACATTGCATGACGTTGAACAAACAGGCGATGTAGCACATACCTCCCAGGGCCAGGGGGCCCTTCGCACAACTAACTCCCAGAGCTTCATCTGTTGAAGTCCACATCACTCAAACGCAGTGTCGAGTCGACACACAACTTTTTGAACTTGCGTAGTATCATAGCTTCACTTGCGCAACAATCACCAGCGCTCCGTTTCAAGCAAAAAGCTTCGAAAGCTGCAAGCCTGGCTGCAGCATCCTCCAGGTTCCCATAGGCATTCTTGGGCATAGCCTGCTCATGATGGGCAGCGCGAGGCAAACATGGTAAACAAGCCTGCTACTACATGCCTGCTGTACTCCCACCCCCTCAAAAACCCCCTCAAGCTTCCGGTCAGCTAGAATTTTGCTTTCACAAGGTTTCGTGTCATTTGGGTGCCCGGGATGCTTGCAGCCTGCAGCCTACCCCACTCCCCTGGTCATTTCAAAAAAAAGCACCAATTCTTCCGGCAGAAGGCCATGACAAATGGCTTTGCAAGTGCAGGCGGTTCCCTATGTTCCCTCACCGAGGCTGCACTCCCAATAGCGGTTAAGTTTTACATGAAGTGGATGGTAAGATGGGCAATCTACGGCGGAACTCTTCGCCCCCGGCAATCGTACATTGCATGCATTACAACAGATAGGCATGCATGGCCTGAAAGGTTGGTTGCAGCAAGCTCTCGATGGCTTTGAGCCGTTTCTCTGTGATGCGGTTGCCACCTGAGACTGCACTTGTTGCGCAAGGGCGGCAGAACCTCCCTCACTCTCTTTGATTGTAGAAAGCAAGCTTTGGCTCCGGGCTTCCGAGGGCTGTCATGACCTGCATGGGATGAAAAAGTGTGGCACAAAGAGGAAGGCGGCTGCTCTTCATAGCCTCCTGAAGGACCGTCTCGCGGAGCTGAGCCGTGCCTTGGAAAAAGGACCCCAAGTGTCGAGGCTTCATGTGACAGCGCGTATGTTATATGTAGTCACTGCAGTCCCTTCTGCTCACAGGCGAGCAACTCATGGACCCTGCACTCGCGTGGAGGTTTCCTCGAAGAGAGGCCTCTGCACAACGAAATGCGGCGGTGACGAAGAGAAGGCGAAGAGCCATCCTCGGCTGAATGCTGCTGTTACACGGCACAGCAAGACCTTCAAGTGAACAGCACTTTGCCCTGTGATTATTGTCAAGCGTCTTGAACATGAAGAGTGCCTGAAACGAACAGGACTGAACACGGGCCAAGTGAGCTTACTCGAGCCTGCCAGGTAGTTCGACCAACGTTTGAATGCCACTGCAGCTGCTACATACTCTGTCACAGGCATGTTCTTATGGGGCGACATCTGGCTCAGTCAACATGTTCTGCTCACTCAGTTGCCCAGATGAAACAGCGGGCTCTTTTGTTGCGTCAGCGCACGAGTGCAACAACGTGGGACACGCCAGCACGAAGGCAAAGCCAGCGGGTGCCTGGAGCCAGATCAGGAAAGCAGCATGATGACACTCCCAACAATCCAAACTAGGACAAAAACACGGCACCATTTCCTTCCTCCCTGCTAGATCTCTTTACCTACTGACCATAGCCCCTCCTTGCATTGTGCCCACAAGTTACCACTACGTGGCCTTGAGGTGGCTTCACAGGCCGCGGCTGCAGCAGGCGCTTGCAGGCCACACCGAAGCCAAGACAGCCTTCCTGGTCATCACACGCGCTGCCCTTGATCACTTCCTCTGCTAGCAGCGTCCTTGCCCCAGCCACTGACCAGTAGCGTCGGCCCGCTCTCTGACTCAACTTCATAGAATGAGAAGAAGCCTGTGAGCAAACCGTGCCAAAGTCAAGGACAACTAATTGCTCTTCATGGATGGCAACTCAATTTGCAAAACCTCACTGCAACTACGGTGCCCAAAATATTATAGGACTCAGCACATGCGACCGCTTCACAGGCCTCCACAGCTAACTCCCGCACAGCCTCAGTGGGGTAGCACAGTATCCCAGCTGCAGTCAAAGCGTCCTCTTGGCATCGTTGATAAAGTCAAGCTACGACCCGGCAAGGTAAGCGCTGCTGGCGAAGACAGCGTCGCAGACGAGCCTTGCCCGCACTGACCTGTTAGAGTAGCTTAGGTGGCACTCATGCACCATGTGTCAGAAGCTCGGGCCTCTTCGATTGTCGCCAAACGTGTAGAGGCCACCTGCCTATATGTTCACGCAGACTACTTGCAAGCGATGCACATTGCAAAGAACCGCAAAAGCATGCCGTGCTTTCACCTCATCGACCACAGCCGAATGAAATCCTCCCAAGGACATCTTCCTTGCCGGTGCCACACCTTGCAGGAGACAGGCAAAATTTACGTCATGCAGCACATGAAAGGTGGTGTTTAGTTATTCCCATTCAAATCCTTTTGATGCAAAACGTGCTTCCGGGAACCCTTCTGCAAACCCTTCCGCATCCTTCCGCAGCCCAGAGCGTCCTTCAAATTTTCATGTCTTGCGCATGTCGGCTTCAGCAAGCCTTCCGCGAAAACCAATCTGCCCACGCGAAATATGCCCTCTTCCAGGACTTTTGCAATGTCGTGCTTGTTTCTGACCTAGCTACTACAAATAAGCCTATGCCAATAATTGAACATGATGATGGTAATAGCTATGCACACTGACATAGAATGAACTGGTGGCTTGCTCTTGGCACGCATGCTGCATAAGACACGCATGGGGACTGGGCTTCAAATAAGGCCTACAGCCTTCCCGAACCCTCTGAGAACCTTCCGCCGAGCTTCCGCGAAGTTCCCCACGGCAAGACAGAAACCTGAACCTCCGAACCCGTCGCTGTTACTGGCATTTGAGGCAACAAAACTTAGTGTTGTGCTTCTTTTACTGCGAAGCTGTACTCCGTGTTCGGTATTAGGAGGAACTTCATCGAGCCTTCCACAGAGCCATCCACTTCCGCACACCTTCCGGTGTCCTTCTGCAACCACGGTCCCGTGCATGTTTTGGCGGTCAAACTCAAATCTTATAGCGCCAACTACTCGAAAGTATTACATTGAAAAATGCGGCTGATGTGATTACCTTGGATCTGCCAACCACCCCATGAATGCGTGCTGATTCTTGCGCAAGAGCAAGGCTCTTGGTCTTTCCTAACATGCATAAGTAGATGTTCCGTGGCAGAGAGATGCCAGAATGGATCAGCCTTCCAAGGATGACTCGGCCAGGCCTGAACTGCCAAAAAAAGGAACCGGTCTCGGAGTGTTCGCCTCGAATGAGCTGGAATAGTAGGCAGTGGCAAAGGGTCCATGGAAGCGCGCTCTATTGTTGAGACGAACTCTTACCCCAAGCATAGAAGATATAGAAGCTGCTACTCCCCCACATCACCTCCGGCAGCTCCACTCTGGAGCAGCCCAGGCCAAGCTGACCATAGCTGTTGCCTCATTTCTAGAAATTGCAGCAGTTAGAGGTTCCAAGTTATGATCAAACGAATCTTGCCATGGGTGCGTCAGTTTGGTGATCTAAATTTGGACATACCTTGGCATCAGCAAAATTTGGCCTTCGGATTAAGGGTTCAGTGCCAGTAGAACTGACAAGTATTTGCATACTGCGCAAACTTCTTTGCGTCTGCGCGCGAGACAGACTTTTGGGGGTTTCGAATCGGTTCAGCGGGTTGAAGCGATGTCAGTGGTTTTAGGGTGTTGAGTTTGGAATTGCGGGTATCAGGGTTTGGAGGCCTACAAAAGCAGCCTCAACCTGAAATACTATAAACCCCACACTCCTTAAGACAACCCAGCTGCCAAAGCGGTCCAAATCACGGTGACCAATGTGACCCTGAAATTGGAGCGAAATTGACCCCTTCATCCCATGAGGGTCACAGGGCAATCAAGCCAATCAGATCTGCTCAGGAGTGTTTGTCTTCTGCACAATGATTACCAAGTATACGGGTATAGCTGTATGGCTGCAACTTGGCAACTTCCCCATGTCCAAAGGACTCCATCCTCCGTAATGGCTGCGCTGTGGTAGCCTCAGCTACCCCCTGCCATACCCGCTACCACCACACAGCCAACACACACTGTGCTAAGACGAGTAGCCACCAGCCGCTACTGCTTTCACCAACTTTGGCATATCAAGCACACGTGGCTCCGGCTGTTTGAAGCTCACACTGCTTGGCAGTAAACCTGCAGAGGAATGACATGAAAAAGCCCCATTTCCACCAAGGCATAAATGCCTGACAGGCTGCTACAGATCTTTGGATCTTCCAAAGCCATGTTGGCCTAAGTTCTCGGTGACGTGCTGGCTTCATGTGGCATGTCCTTTCAGCTCTCCTCACGACTTACTGCAACAGCTCAGGCAGCTACAAGCCCGACCTCAGGCCCCTGTGTTTCGCCCCAGGCCAGGACAGCGCCTTCTTAATTTTCCATTGACTGTTCGCCGACACTTCAGGTGCGGGAATTATATCGAAGCATGACAATTTGACTGTCAATTCAAGTTAGCCCGGGAACAGAACACAGAATACACAGACTGGCCTTCCGCAGTCAAGGCAAGTCCGTGAAACTCGCCTCTGGAGAGGCGTGGGATATGTGTTCGCATGATCATGCCCTTCAGGCATTCAGGCAACTAGAAAACAAGAAAGGAAGTGCTGGCAGATTGCCAAGTGCCATCTGGACCACCGGGGACGCCCCCGGTACCTCGCAACGAGCAAGTGGGCTTCAAAAGCTTCCTGTGCAGGGCTATCTACTTTGAGGATGCTTGATGGCGCGTCTTCTAAGGAGGATAGACAATGACAGAATCTCTTTTCGCATAAAATTCTCTGGCTCAGGCAAAACAGGTGCTCCGGCAGACTTCCATGAGGGTGTCACCATGTTGCGAATGTCTGTCAAGGCTGGCCAAATACTGTACTGAACAGTTGCTTGCTCCAGGCCTTCAGCCGCGTCAGCTTCTTGATGACGGGAGCGTCAGTGTGGACTCCACATTGGTAACCTTCGTTTGGACCTTTGATGGCCAACTTCCCCAACACAACTTGACATGCATCATGCATAAGGCCACAATAAAGCAACTCTTGTGCCAGAAAGATGCAGAGTCAGCAATCCTCAAACTCCAGGCAGCCCCCAACAATGCAGCCGAGGAACCCCATGCGTACAGGGAACCTTCTGCTGTCAGACAAGCTGTCACAAAGCGCCCACAACGTACATCATGGACAGCCTCAGGGAGCATACAAGTCGCTTCTTGGATGGCAACACTAAGAACTGCAGCCCAAGATGCAGAGGACGTGGCTTGTTCTTCTGGCTCTGCAAGCATCTCGACCTGCTAACTAACAATATTCCCCCTCTCTAGGGGGGGGGTAGGTGGGGGGGAGGGGGGTCCAGAAAATGGGTCTGGACCTATTACCTTTCACAGTGGGGGGGGGAAGGCCAATCTAACAAGGACATGTTCAGCGTGTAGGGATTTGCAGATGCCCTTTCCACCCCCAGCCCCAAACCTATTTCTGGTCCCTCCTACTACCACTACTACCAATATACTAGCACCTGCACTTCTAATGCAACTAGTATTACTGCAACTTCTGATGCTACTACGAATAAGTGGTACTGGTCCTCTAGAAGCAACGCCCATAAATCGCGAACATCGCGATTCCAAACCCAGAAATAGGTCTTGGGAGAACTGTTCTCATAGCAGTCACAAGGAAACAGCTCGACCCACTGTTCCAGCAATAGGTCTGGCACAGTCCCGAAATAGGTGGCTGGCACAGTGACCCCCCCCAAAGACCTGTTATTAAAGAGGGGGAATCTAACAATAACTCTTTGTACAAGAGTACTTCGCATGTATGGGCGTGTTGCCTCCTCCTCTTCCGCACCATGCTTCGGGCTCTCGTCCGCGAGGAATGTTCCCCAAACGAACAGGCGATCAGCTGCACTCACGACCTCCGATGCAATTGCACAGCTGCCGAATGCAAGTACTGATTCTATTCTCGAATCTACATACTTGCAAGTCTGCAAAGAATAGACAGTCATTCATCCCATAGTCCTGATACACGTCTCATGTTGGATTGTTTTGCCAAGGGACTGCAGTATGAGCTCCTGCAGCACAAAACGCGTCACATGCAAATGTGGTCTTTCATGAACTTGCAGGCCTTCTCAAGGCAAGAGGGACAAAAAAATATGCTGTACACTTTCTGTTTGGAACTGACTGCATGTGGAGCAAACACGAGCCGTGGCAAAATGTGTCCTGCGGCCAGCCCAGTCAATCGGCAGCTCTCGAAACCAGGGACCTCAACACCAGCTAGCACCGCAAACAGTCATCCCACGTTGCCCATGTTCCGAATGCACTCAGATTGACCCGCTTCATGACAGCCCTTCAGGGAGAGATTACTGGCTGGCTGGTCAAATTGACTGGAACTGCTTGGGTGATGTGCCATGCCGTTGCAACTGAGCGTCGACGTCCGCCTCAGCACAAACACCACGGCTGATGGCATCAAGGCCTCGGCCAAGGCGGCCGTCCTGGTGTTGGAAGAGCTTTAGCGCAGCTGTAGAAGCCAAGACCAGCACACATTGCTGCATAGCCGTGCAAGAAGCTGTACACAGCAAAGCGGTCCTCACTTGCGCCCCAGGAAAGCAGCCGAGCCCGAGATTGCGCCTCCAAACTGATACAGGGCAACAGCTCGCGCAAGTAACATTCGTTCGTAGGAACAGGAGCACGACAAGGTCCCTTCGATCGCCATTTGTTCCGTAGACAACGTTTTTTGGGAGATCTATCGGGTGCACATTCTCGGTCAACATGCTTGAGCCTCTTCTGTGGGCTCGCGTTGTTCTCCAAAGACCTGCGTGGTGGACATGAGTCTGCATCCAAAGCTGCAAGAGGAGCCTGAAGCCAGAAAAATCCGCGCCTTATTACAAGGCTAAGGTCCTAGATAGGTCAACTTATAAGCGGAATTCGAGCCCGACCTCTTGAATGTTTCGGGCATGAGGCACATAACCAAACGTGAAGACGCGTAGCACTTTCTCCATTAACAGAAAGATTACTGCACCAGTGCTCTTCGGAAAAAGCTGCCTGGTCCTGAAAAAGCACCAAACTTGGCTGCGACCACTCCCCCCATCCTTCTGCATTGGCAGCTCGCCTTAATCTGCAGTCATGGTACAACAGCTGCATTTCTTTGCGACTAATCGATTTGATTTGGGGCCTACGGGTCCTGCATCATCCAGAAGACTCCCTCTTCAGTTTAGTGCCAGGATACAATGAGAGCCAGCATGCCCTGGGCAGGTGCTGGCAATCCAACAGTGGCCGTTCTTCGGCAACTGGCCTGGGCAACGCAGCACGGCTCCGAGCCGTCAAAACAAGTGCACCTGCTCATGTACCGCTCTGGGCCGCTCTGCAGAAAAGAAGGGGCGTCAAGAAGATATGCGCAGTTGACATCCTCCTCGTCGCCACCTTCACAGGCCTCAGTGGCATAAGTCTGCTTGCTGAATTTGAAATTTGAATGCAGGAAGGTGGCTACTTCCTCAGCCGTTAACCTCAGTTGTGCACGACACTCTGCCCCTTCGGGTTAAGCTCAATTGCTGGATGCAGTCAGCTGTTGACCTTTCTGCCAGCAAATGCTGACCGCAAGGGGACCCATTGCTCACCTCGCTCTGAGGCTAGCAGCTGAATTTGCTTCGCTTCGTTGACATCTGGACTTCCTGCCAACTGATCCGCACTGTCGCGAATAGAAGCGAAGCTGCAATTTCGAGTCATGTGATTCACCACCCACAGCACCCAAAAATCCTAGAACAATCTCATCTGGAAAACCAGAAAGTAAAACCAGCACTCTTGTGTTGAAGAACACATCGCATGCATTTCTCAAACTCGCCTGTGACGCCTAGCCGCCAAGGCCAGACACTGATTGAGTAGTGCCTTGGCTCACCAGGACTCTGACACATCAGGGGCCACTCTGCTATCTCTGCTCTTCCATGCGTCAGGCATACGCCTTGCAATGTCAGGGTGCGTGATGCTTTGGTTGTTGTCACGCGGCGCCCTCCACTGCAGCAGCGAATGCTGCAAGTCTCTCCTTGCGACAATCGCCAGCTCCACCGTATCAGGAACGTCGAAGAACTCCTTCATGCTTCAGAGGCACGACTGGGCTTTTGGAAGGTTCTGGGGCAAAAGATGAAGATACCCCCAACACGGTCAGATCCATGAACTCTGGCAGTTGAGACTTACGAGGATAGAATGCCCCCACAACGGGTCCTCAGCCAGCATTGTCTGCATCGTCCCATTGCAGTCCAAAAACGATAGGGCTGAGTATAAACAAGTTGTGCTCGGTACAAGAATACATGGTGTTTTTGCTGCTGCAGACTAGCAAAGACTTTGTTCTATCGAATGGAATAACTCTGAACAAAAACCCTGGCCTTGGCTGTCTTCCAAACAAACTGCTGCGTCCATCCAGGGGCTGCAACACATCTCGTGACTTTGCAATATGAACTTTCTTTGTCTTGCCATGGTGATAAGGACGTCCTCAAATGGTGACACGTCGGCGGATCACAAACTCGCAGCCTCATGGCTATGGCAGCCTCATTGCGATGCAGGGCTCATGCGGGCTCATCAAATGACCCATCTCATACACATGGTATGGAAATGTCACTCGGTCTTCCCACGATACAAAACCACTGCTATGTTCGTACAAGGTGCTCTTCCTTCGAAAGACCGGTGCATTGCAAAAGAGCTTGGTTGCAGTGCTCCTGACACCAAGCTCCACTATGCATCACAGCTTGCAGGGTTGAAATCCCTTTCGCGGCACTGCCTCGATGCAAGCCGCAGACTCAGGATGGCTCTTTCCTCAAAGCTTTTTAAGCAGAATGCACGAGCCAAGAATGATAAATATGTGACTGGGGCATTGGCCTTTCCTGGCCAGCAATGAGAAGCAGTTTTTGGTGCTGCAATCAGAAACGTCCACGAAGCACGTGGAACCTGAAATGGGTAGCTAGCTCACATGCCGGTTGGGGCTGGTAACAGACGACAAACACAGATTCCAAAGCCCATGTAACCAAGGCTTGCATCTAAGACCCTGGCAAAGCTCCGACAGGTTGAGCTTTTCCATGTGTAGTTTCAGCGACTTCTCTCTCACGATCTTCCACCTCCTTGTGCTCCAGCTAGCTGTCCCGATCTTCTCCTTGAGCGGCAGCTAGCGGAAGGCTCCAACAGGCATGGCTTGCGGGGGAAAGCCGAATGGAAAATCAAAGTCGAACATGAAGGAAGGCTTCCAAGTCTTCTTATGGAAGACTACTCACAGAGCCCTCAGCACATCTCCGCACGCAATCTATCCCAACTCCTCGAGTTTGACACCCTGCTGCCAGGCTTCAAGCTCCTCTGGGACGTCGGGTTTTTTCAAGATTGTCCGATCAGACTCACTTTTGCAGTTGCCTTCTTCCTCACCATCCTGCAAGCGAAGCCGTGTCAACACATAGAGTCCATCATGCAATCCATGCTTCGCCTTCTCTCCAGCGTTGCCATCATCATGTTCCGGCGATGCTTCGTCGTCAGCCTCAAGACCAATGTCCTCACCTGGAGACCAACTGAATCTCTGAGCTGCAGGATGCACGCATACATTCTTTTATTAACGATGTAATAAGGCACCTGTCCGTTTGTTTCCTTCAACATCTTCAGAGTCGGACTCCAGCCCTTGGGATGCACGAATGGCAATGCAATCTTTGGAAGAGACACATTGCAGGAGCTGCAGCTTGGATGTACTGATTGACACCGAAAAATTGAACTATAATGAGTTTGACTTCTTCCAAACGATCCCACGGTGGAGAACAATGCAGAAGATACTTTGCCCTTAAGTGAACTGATACCAGTATGAGTCAGTATGCGCGACTATGCAGCTGCGGATCCTATATCCTCATCATCCAGCTCCTTCAGGATTTGGTCCACGAAAGCAGAGTCGTCGTCTGAGCAGGACTGGGAAAAACCCAACGTTGAGGTTTCTGACAACTTGGGCCTGTTGAGGACCCTAACAGTGTCCAAGCTTGACAGATGATTGTAGGCTAATTATTGGCGTAGCACCAGGCACAAACTTTTGCCGGAGCTTGCTATACTGGATAGCAGCCCTGCCTGTCCAATCTGCTTTCAGTCCTAGTCAAGGAGTCTTGTTGCGACTGGGCTTTCGCAATATTTCTGCTGCGAACTCGACTTCTGACATCAAAGCATCTTCGTAAGTCTGCACCAGTCTTCTCCCTCATTGCCGTTTGCCTTACCAAGGGTCTTTGTAATGTGGGGAATTGCCCAAGCAGAATGAGTTGTACGGCACTAACCGCGTGAATCTATGGCGGAGACGGGCCGCTGAGGACCTCGAGTATGTTTTCTCCGAAAACTCTGCCTAACTGGGTTCATAGCAAGACTTTAGAGGCAAAACTCAACGAATATCGGAAGTATCGCGAACTCAAGGATCCAAAAAGTTCAGGGAACTATGAAAAACGTCAACAGAATGAAAGCCAACGAAGGAGAGACGCCAACTTTGCTCTGGAGCCGAACAGAAACAATGTCAGCTCTGCATTATTCATTCAACCAAAAATTCAGGAAAATGAGTATAAAAATGTTGACAGTGCGTAAAGCATAGCATCGATGATCGTTGTCATCATCGTCACCATCATCAACATGGTCGAGTCACTGATACTACTAACATTATCTAACCTAAGCCGGCGTTTTGCCCGTCACGATGCGAACGCGATGTGCACCTTAAAACTCAAAATGCAAAAATCACAATAAAAACTGACAGAAAAAAATCAAGTTTCGCCAAATCAAGAAGTCAAAATTTGACAACTCGAGGTTTTCTACAACCCGAAATTCTTAATCTGGAAATCTCGAAAATTCAACATTTCTAAAACTTTGGCTTGCCAAAACACCGATGAACCGAAACACACAAGACCCTACCACAGTATCTAACAGTGGCAGAACCGGTTCAATAGCCAGTATGCATCAGTACAATCAGTAGAACTAGCAGCAGTAAAGACATACTAGAAGCAGATATCGCATCAGCCGTGGCAAAGTACTTTTATCAATGATGCGTGCGCCCCAGTAGCACTGCTGCCAAAGAAGCAACCATGCCAACAGGAAACTTGCCAAAATAAGACCAACTTCAAAACAAAAGAGGACAGCAGCTACACTCAGGGGATTACAGGAAGGCTCAAAACTCCGCGACCTGTCCTATGTCATCATCCACATCCTCCTCGGATTCATCCTTGGAGCTGCCTGGCGGCTCCTACAGTATGCTCCCTTTTTTGAATGTTGAAGAACACTACGAGCCTTGGAAGATTATGCAGTGCTGTTGCCAAACACTATGACCCTGTTGCTTTAGAGCAAACACTCATGATACCAACTGTCAATTTCAAGAACCCTCTCATGAGACCAGCTTCATACTTGGACGCCTGCGTGGCTTTCCCAAGTTGCAGTCGTCGTGGACGATGGGGCCCTGCAAAAAGCCATGTCGCTTGGGGGAATTACAATGGTGGGACGAGGGCTTCACATTCGCTTCTCCGCTGCTGTACGCTAAAGCCGCATGCTTCAAATTTTCTGGGGTTGCCAGAGCTGGGCCCTTAGGATCTTAGGTGCCGACTGGACTTGAGAAGAGGGCCACGAAGGCTAGAGCAGTGGTGGAAGACAGAGAGGAGCCATGCAGTTACAGGGCTGAGGTGTCGACCCAGAGCTTTCAGATGAAATGCAACTGCAAGCCTTACTTGAGGACCTGAAGGGGTGCCTGTAGCGTGGGGTGGGCCTCCCCTTGAACCAATATTTGGAAGCATTTTGGGGGGCGGGACAATTCACTAAACCCTTAGAACGTGGTTCGGAACCACATCTGCACTCATCCACAGAATCTGTAAACGAGAACAACCGCAAGCTCCAAGAGAGCTAGCTTTCGAGACTTGAGTCACATGCCACTTCCCAGACACCTTCAAGGCAACAGTAACAGGGGACCCTCTTGAACGCATAACTTGAGCGATCTTGGACCACCAGGAGCTTGGCAATTCGGGGATGCAGGGTTTGTGTTGCATTCAGGAATCCCTAAAAATTGAAGAAACGCTCCAAGAAAACCCAAGCCTAGATGCAACAAGACCAAGAAACTAACATCGGAACATGCCAGTTCGGCATGGCAACTCTATGAGTCACTTCTTGCAGCCGAGTAGCTCAGACTTTTGAGAGCCGGGTTCTGTCCCAGGCTTGCTCTTGCGCAGCTTGCAGCACCTGTGGCTGACTACAGCCAGCTTCTGCACTCCAACCACTACAGGACAGGGCACGCATCCAAATTGAAGTCGCCAGCTTTGCATTGCCGTGAGCAGTAAAGCGAATCGTGGCATTTCACCTGCGCCAGTCGAGTTCAGAAAAGGGCGACTACATATACAGCCTTCATATCGCAAAGGGCCGTGTAAAGTTCATATACTGAATTGCTCTTGCAACATGACAGCACCAGCTGGCCTCCTTGTAGTTCCAAAGGCAATCCTTATCACCTTGGCTTCGTTAGCAGGACCAGGCCTTATCTAGGCCATGAAAATCCCATCCACCCACCAAAACACCCAACAACCCTGAAGCTCAGCCAAAAGTCTTGTAGGTTTGAACTTGTCAATTTTCAGGCGGCAGCTCTGACCAAGCTTGAAGTCCCCGGCCCGAAACTTGTATTCCTCAAGACACCGCAGCGCACAGGCAGCACATGTCTGGCTACGTTGAGTCCCAGTGTCGCAGGCATACTTCGGCTCACATCTGGCTTTGCGATAATTCCACTTGCAGTCAGAATTCCGCAGCGGCACCTGCAACGAGGCACTCACGGAAGCCGGTAAGGTGGCCCATCAAAAAAAGCATAGGTGTCCGCCGACAAGCTACTTCACAGCCTGACCTTGCCTTTGCAGGCGATGCAGGTACATACGGCATGAATGGTGTGTTGCCATCCGGTGTTGGCTCATCGTGGTCCTGTCAGCAGTGTCACATCTTCGGCAAACCCTCGAAACAAACTTCCACAAACTCGCGCCCAGCAGTAAAACTGATGCAACAATAACACGTTTAGCACTTCCAAGTCCTTGCCGGCTCCTATCCCCATGATCTCATTTGCTGCCTTGCACTATCTGAACCTGCCGTGTCCTCTGCCTCCTTGACTTTCTCCAGCTGCGTTCTTTTGAAACCTGCCTGACAGCGGCGGCTGCTGGAGAAAGCTCACGAACGGATGGGAGAAAAGTTCCCTCTGCTTCCAGACATGATTGCAAAACAGTTTAGTTTCAAGAAGCTGTCTGAAACCGCTACGTTGCTGGAGCCGGCAAGAAGAAGTGGGCTATTGAGCGCCTTCATGCTCAAAAGAGTCTCCAATTGCCTGCGCTTGTCAGGGTTGTTGAGAACGGCCTCCTTGGCAGGTGTGCATGCTTAGCCCCACGATGTCTTTCAAGGGGGTCTGGTCATCGGGTTGCAGGTCCTAGAGGTCTCAGGATTTCAGGATTTGGCATGTTTGGTGAATTTGGGGTTTCGGGTTTAAGTACCAGGCCACATTCCTCTGCCCCTCCCCGATGGAATCAGCTCTGCATATCTCCTAAGGTCCTACATTCCTCTTTAAATTGCTGCCGCCGCCGCCGCCGCTGCTGCTGCTGTTTGGATGCACCACCGAAGCAACTCCCAAAGCCAAGGAATCCTGCAAGGGGAACCTCTGCAGCACAAAGTGTTCATGGGCACTCACACAAGAACTAGCCGCAGGCCGCCGGCAGCATATCCACCAAACGGAAGCGGGCAGGTCTTCAATGCCGCAGCAGCAGCAGCAGCAAACAAGAATCAGACAACAAGTGAAGGTGAGATGACAAAGGTGCATTGCACCAACTCAAGAAGCAACGAAGGCAGCTTCAAGGGTATGCTCGCTCTAGGGTTTGTCGTAATGCAATAGGCCAATCTACCCCAATGCTGCCCCGGCAACCTGAACTGCGCGCAGCCCTGAACTCAAAAGACGAGCTAGCGCACCAACATGTCGGACTCCATGATGTCAGACAATTCGGCTTGTTTGCCCATGGTCGAAATGCAACGCACGTTCATGCAACATGTGAAAGAACACACTGACTCGCCAAAGCTTCAACTATTTCGCATCACAAGTGACCAGGATGAAAAGACCCACAGACCCGATAAGGACTTCAAACCTCAAGGACGGCAAGAACCGGCGCCTGAATGAATCTTACGCAACACATTGCAGAGCCAGCAGCCCTTCTCTTCTGGAAGTATTGCAGATAGGAATACCCCTCAAACCCAGGCACCAACCAATCATGTGATTGAAAAACCCAATTTACGCATGCTAGCAACACCTGTGTAACAAGCCATCAGCGGCGCAGCTCTAACAATGGACAAGGATAGCGCACCATCCACCTACATGACGTGAAAATGGCCATGCCATACTACGCAGTGTCCCAGTCTAATTTAAACGGCAGCCACACAGGACCATCAGCAGGTTGCCCAGCTGCATCCAAAGCAGCAAGTGCTGTATACCACCACACAACAAACAAGGAAAGTCTGCACTCCTTGGGCACGACTTTCACACACTTCTGGTTTTGTTTCGTATTCATCGAAACTCACCAACGCTCATCTTGCTGTCTGGACAGGAATTCGGACAAACCCTCTACGGGAGCTCCCACCGTGCACAGAAGATTTGCATTCGGGAAGTCTGGTGCACCCCTTTGGACACACCATTTCGCATGTACGTCCCCGCACAGCGCAAACAAAGCTTCCCACATATCCAATGCCAGTGGTTGACCCGGGGCGTCCCTTGCAGAGAATTGAAAAGCCAGACTTGTCAAAGCGGCACTTGCTAGAGCCGTAGCGCAGCTTGCCTGCCGGGTGCAAATCCCAGATTGCAGCATCCACATCGCCTGCACCCTTATCAAGGAAAGCTTCCCCAAACACGGACAAGCCGTCATATCCCGCTGCCACCAACTTCTCCACACAAGCCTCTGTAAGCCTGCGCTCACCAAAAAGGTTCCGGCCAGTTTGCTCGGGCATGTTTGTGCAAACTTTGGACATCTCTGGACGAACAAGGCAGACTCAAACCGGAATGCCCACACAGTAAAGATTTCAACCACTCCTGGCAATCACTGCCCAGATCATACAAGCGGCATGCGGAAGTCACACTGCTTGAAATACACATGACAATCGACAGTCAGAAAAACACTGCAGCACCTTTTCAGCCCTGGCTTCAAAGACATTGGCTGGAACTACAAGAATCATAGCAGACCCCAACACGACATTCATCGATGATACGCCACTGATTTAGCAGACACTCGTGTCTCAGATCGCGCAGCCCGAGTGATTGCACGACGTGAACCCATGAAAGCGCTGGTTGAACTTCCAGTGCTCGCAAGTGCTTGTCAAGGAACGTCAGCGTGCATGCCATTATCCAACAACCATGCTTCGCACACAACTTTGCCCTACGTGCACAGTCTGTAATCACGTTAAAAATCGAAGGCGCGGCAACGGGCTCCAGCTGTTGCAAGCCCAGCAAGTCGTCCTCCATCCAACTGCCAGCGTCGCTTGCTGCCTTAAAATCTGATTCCCTTGCCGGTGGAATATCCTGGTTGCCCTGCTGTGGACCATCAGAGGCTGAAACACCGACACAGACTCGTCCTCGGTAGCATCATCCACGCTCCCGCACTCTGCCGCTGCCAATACAAGGTTGCCAGAGGCCTCCTCAACATGCTCCGCGGACACATAAGCGACAACTTCCGGCAGAATCTCCCCTATTCTACACCATCGAACGTCACCAGCAGACTTAGCAGCCCCTCGCCAATTTGCTCTGCGCCCCTGTGCAGAGGAACACACTGCCGACAACCTTTCCGCAAAGACAGCTCAGTTGCGGCCCAATGTCGTGATGCTAATGCCGCTGCTACTGCCTGCTGCTCACAGGCTTTAGGGTTAAGGTCTAGGGTTCCGATCTGCGGGTTTTGGGGTGTGGCTGCTGCTGCAGCCCCCAGAGCACTCGACCATAAGCGGAGAAAAGCGCAAACACATGCAAGACTAAATCCAAATGAATTGTACGCTCGACATAAGACAGGGTCGCCTGCAATCCAATAATACCGCAGCCAGACAGCATCATTCGCTGACGCGACCAAAGACGGATACACATAACCCCAAAACACGGCACGACCCTGATGGCTGCAACTACAACGTTTACAACGATTTCGATCAAAGTAGAACAGCTACCGGCACACAAAACTCCCGACAATAACGACACCGATAACAACTGCCACGACAACAAACTCAAAAGATCCTTCATGAAAGTCGTAACATGATCCTGTACCTCAAGCCGTGAAAATCGTGACATACTCCTGTACCTCAAGCCTGGAATGACATTCGATACAACCACAAAAATCACAAAACAGTTGAAGGGTCTAGAAGTCGAGTTAGGCAAAGAATGCTTGTAGACAAGCGACTGCCAGCCCTTCCTGCCTGACATCCTTCAGCTTCTCGTCACGCCTTTCCCTGTCCAAGTCTTGACGTTGCAAAGGTGCAAACAATAAGATTGCCCCCATGTACTCCCAGATTTTCATTTCGTGTTCTAGTTGATTCTCCATCGTCGGGGTAAATGACAATAAAACACTCCAAAAGATGGTTCCACATAATCCTTGTATACTCCCTACAAAGCCCTATACCCTATACCATCCCCTTGTACTCGCCTTACGAGTATGGCCCTATAAACTCCCTACATAACCCATATGAGCCACAGTCTAAACTCCTCTATATTATCCCCTCTATGCTGCCCTCTAAGGAGTTTAGATTGTAGTCTATAGTCCATATAATACGAAGAGACCACTCTCACCTGGCGGATTCCGCGTACTTCTCCAGTGCCGTGGCGCGCGTGGCCTGCAAGTGAGGTGCAAAGCCCTGAAGGTGAGGGTTTAGGATTTCAGGCTTCGGGTCTGCGATTTAGGATTTAGGGTTTCATGATTTTTTTTCGGGCTTAGGATAAAGGGTCTAGGGTTTAGAATTTAGTGTTTAGGGTAGGGTGTAGGGTGGAGTAGGGGCTTTATAGGGGTGTGTAAGGGCTTTATGGGGACATTTTGTATTTAGGGTTTCCGAAAGTTGGGGATATCCACCCGACTATGGAGAGTATAATGGAAAAGAAATGGGGATGGAAATGGAAACAAAGATCATATGGAGGTTTCTAGGGATTGGGGACATTTATAAAGACGGTCATCCACCTCTTGGAGATGGAAAGGTCGGAGGTAGTATCCGTGCATTTCACTTTGCCGATATGAGGTGCACATCTTACAGAAACCTGTCGGCCTAAGCTTGGAATTCTTAGGGAGTTGTGCGGCGGCCAGGATTTGATAGGAGCTCTGGATGAAGTTGGAGCACTGGTGACCTGCCTCAGCGAGTACAAATTCAGCAGCGTCGGGGTCCAGGGGGCAGCAACCCAAATCCTGCACGTGACAAGCGGGGTCCAGAATCAACCCAACGTCCAATGTCAGGCTCCTGACACCCCAGTTGCCAAGCCAGCTCAAGGCTAAGGTCCTAGGGCCACTGACATGTCTCACTGCTCGAACACAGAAACACTTTATTGAATGCTTGGAGTTCGCAAGCCAAGTCTCACCCACGTCTGCCACCGAGGTACGTTCCCTCGATTCTCCAAGCTCTTCAACATGGTTGGCAAGACTCCAGCATCCTCCTGGCTGCAAAGCGGACACTCGCATATGTCGGACATGTTGCCGCATGTATGCTGCCGACATCTTAAAGGCATATAATGTGGATCAACGTGGCAAGCCGTTCCTTCTTCGTTGATTCACCAAACTCTTCACATCGAAGCCGGCTTGCTTGCCTCAATTGTGCTGCAAAAGTATCACGCAGGCAGGGGTTGCGAAGCAGAAGTATTCTCTGCTACAGGAAGCTACCTGCAACAGGTCAGGTCTCTTCTCAGCCTGTCATGTTCCCGTGTTGGTTCAGCAATCCAAGGCCCTACTTCTAATCGTGCTACAACATCCGAGAATAATCCTTCGAAATGTCCTTCGACGACTCTCTGTCCCATGCCTATTTGAGCTGAGAATCGTTTCAGCAGCAGAGCATTCCTCAGCAGCCTGAGACATTCAGGCACATCCCAAACGCGAAATGCACACAGCCATCCAAATCATGAAGACAAACAAGCCACAAGGCATACCACCCCTACAAGTCCGTGCAGCAATGCAGAGAGGCGAAGGCAAGACGCGAGTGCCATGAACACAAAATATCAGTGGCGTCAAAAAAAAAACACGCATTCAGAATCGGCAAGAACTTGAGGCTACTGAAGTTACGGGCAGCTAAATCAGCTAAGGAACCTTCAAAGCCGACTC